TGCTCATTAATTGCCACAATTCTGTGAATTCTGTCGTCAACAATAACAAATGTGTTTGGACAAGTCACGTATCTTTCTGTTTTTGGTACATGCATAAAAGGATTAGGGCTTGGTACATACCTCCTGTTTGGCTATCTTAATTAGTTTGAATTTGCTTCATTTTTCAACGAGGGAAATCGGATGCCAACGTAATTAACTCCTTTAATATGTGCTAAAGAGCATCTTCAAGGAAGATGTCAAATACCAAACACCAAATTTAAATTTGATGGCTGATGTGGCAATTTGATATTTACACAGTTTTATACTTCACTTGATATGTCAAATAAATAATATTGTAACAGTCAAATCATTTAAGATAAAGAAGAAAAAAAATAATAAATGGAAGTAACAGTCAGTTGTCTTTAAAAAATAATAAAATATTCATTTGACATCTTGCTTTTGGGATGTCAAAAGTAACAGCTGAACCTTCAGCTTTCATTCCACATCAGCTTTGACAATTTAGTTGGAGTGATGTGTAATATTATTTATAGCCAGCTGTTACTTTCATTTATTTTTTTTCTTTTTTCTTTTTTCCTTTTTTATCTGAAATGATTTAACTGTTACAATAATTATTTATTTAACATATCGGGTGGAGTGTTAGTGTAAATGTCAAATTACCACATCAAATACTATTAATATTCCTTTATGGTGAGTGAGTGATTAGGCGAAAAGCAAGCTACCCTATTGGGATCACAACACGTGTCTTTCCCCTAGGAGCAAGATCACCTAACGAAACTTGATTATTTCTCATTCTACCCAACAAAGAGATTCAATCGTTCCTATGAATTTGGAACCCACCATTGTCTGGTGGATTCTATGTAATATACGCACATGACATGGGGTTCATTAAAAACTCACCAACCAACGAGTAATGCTATAGAGATGGGTACACAATGTAGTATAAAATGTGATAAGTCTAGCATTTTCTTTGACGAAAACAAACGCTTGCCAAATCATACATATAACTTCACATTGTTAAGAAAAAAAATATAGTTTAATCAAATGCAATTATGGTTTAACGCATAATTAATCATGATATATAGTTAGTTTCGAGTTTCTAGATACTAGAAAGGACGAGAATTGAAGTCCTTTGGGTTGCAGAGAAGAAGTCACGCGTGCTGATCTATGGCCATGGACGTACCTGCGCTGATATAAACTCGAGCTTCCTTTTCTACCCTATTTCAATAAACTTTCGGCTACTTAAATGCCCATAATAAAAGCCTAACTACTACATTGTTTCAGAAAAGAAAGAAAATAAATTTGTACTGCATGCAAACTCGTGCGTTCCTTTCTCTTTAATTTGTACGTGCATCGATCTCTGCTGCCCTAGACAGACAAATCTGTGAAGCTATAAAACTTAGATATCAAAGCTGCCAGCTCGATCTTTATTAAGAAATTAATATTGTTAGTTAATGATGAAAACTGATGATCAAACAGAAGAATTAATGCATTATATGTGGTTTTGCAAGTTCCAACTTCCATATCCAAGCAACAATTTGGAAAAAGATTCTGAGAAAACTTTAGGTAGCTAGGTTGGCTCCACAGCAGAAGGGTGCGCACCCCCACCCCATGTGTGAAAGGGGTCCCCCATAGCCAATTTGTTGTGAGTGATGCATAATTGCTTGTCTTTGCTGTTGTTTCTTTCATTCGACCTTTCCCTCCCACTTTGTCATCATATTTTAAATAAATTATTTATATATGTTGCATGTATATATATCTTATGTATGTCAATATATCTAGATATATAATTCTTCTCAATACTATCATAATCTCTAGAGAGAAAGAGTAGCTGAGTTCTTGCATTGAAGAAAAACTTGTGTGAAACGAGAATAGCGTTGAGCGTCCAAGCAAATACAAGTGGGTGAGTTGAGTTGAGAGGGCAGATTAGGTAAGCTTATTAGGGTTTCTTATTTGTGGGAATGGGTGCCCAAAACCCACGTGATCGAGTGGCTGCTTGGGTACAAGGAGGATGAAATTTGTGGCGTGGGGCTTTTCTCTTCCCCCACACAACACCAGAGGCAGACAGGAGGGGGCTGGGGCTGGGTTGTCTAGTGTTTGTGGTGTAGTTATATGCATTAACAAACAACAATGGAATTATGGAAACGAGATATACGCCCATTTGCATGTTACCCCCTCGTGGGTGTATCGTAATCGTCCTTGGTACCTTTGTGGAATAAATATATACATTACACACATTGACAAGTACCACACACTTAGCTCCTGTCCTAGTGAATGATCCATCCATATCATCCATCACCCCCCAAACCAAACCCCCCTTTCCCTTACCCACATTGCCCAACCATCACTTCATTTCGTTACAAATTCTTTTAATTTCATTCACAAAAACGATCATCTAATAGTAATAGTATACAAACTTGTTTGTTCTTCGTTGTATTGTTAGGTACACATTGAATAGTATTGGATCTACCCTGCCATGTTACGCAATGAGAAAAATAGTTAGGATTAAGATAAGTTACGGGTTCAATATGAAATGCTAATTAATCTCATATGGTTTGTGACTCTTTATTTTTAAAATCAAAAGAAAGAAGGAGAGAGAAAAAGAAGCTTAAGAAACACATATATATCAAACTGTGGGTAGTGTATTATTAATCATGATTCTATTTGATCAATTATATGTGTGTATACATACACACACATATGCTTTGGGTAATATACTAAGAGTTCGGGGAATTCTTCAATCAATTTAGCCATTGAGTAGTGCGTTGACGACAAGAGTACTCCACGAACACAATAGTCAAAATGACATAAAATACATGAATATAGTATTAAACAAACAAATCCACAACATGCCCATGAATATGTGAAATAAAAAAAGCACACTTCTCTCTCTCTCTCTCTCTCTCTCTCTCTCTCTCTACTCCAAACCTAATTCCATGCATTGCCCAAAATCCCTCCTCATGAACCCAAGGTAAGTGACTTTGAGACTTAAAAGCATAAGAAAATTTACAATAGGGGGATGTGGGGTGGCTGTGGAAGTAATTGGGGAGGGGCTACAATATTCGTATGAAATATCGAGAATTGTGCTTGAATTGCGTGAAATTGAAATTACAGGAACAAAATTTATCAAATTGAAACTATAGAGATGTTAGTGATAAAAATAATAAAATACAGGAATCGAAAATGTAAATTAAGAAGATAATACCCCAAATCAGAAAAGTAAAGACGAGTGTTGTACACGTAACAGATGATTTCTTCCTTCCTTAATTTTCATTTGACATTTGTCCTTTGCCCAATACATGCCAGTTTATACGTGCCATTTTAAATGTTTCATTCATGCATGATGAACCAATATCATCGAAGCTAGCATGTTAGTGGTGTGAAAGTAATACTAATTAGGTAATCAAGTAGATCTGATATCCTATTATTCCTAAATCCATTTGCATAATTCAACCTAATGACATTGATTTTATAAATACTATAAATTTATTTTTATTCCTTCCTCAAGATTGCTAGCATGTGTTTGGATGCCTCCTAACCTACCAACTCACATGCTCCACACCAATTAACATTTAATTAGGCACATAATTATAAGTTTAATTAGCTACCCGATTCTAATCAAACCACTGGGATGCATCCACTGTATGACTGTGGATCCACAGATCATGATCTTTTTTCCCTTGCAATAATCTTCTTTGTTTATTTCACGATTACCCAACCAGTTGGTGGTGCCAGAAATGTTAGATCTTGGATGACTAAAATTCTTAATAAAATTAAGCCATGATTTCTAATAAGTTAAATTTGACTAGCGACTAATAACTAGCTAGCTATAAGTCTAAGTCTAAAAACCTAGTCACGAATTTGACTGACACAAAAATTCAAAGGTAGAGACAACCAACCCTCTCCCCAAATTTAGCTGATGATCTGACTACAAATTGTACAATCCAATAGCCTGTTAATAATAGTTTTGACCCAAAAAGAAATAGAGAAAATCTGATTACTTATAATGAAATGATAGAGAAGTTACCTTTTTTTTCTTTTATCCAACTTTATAAGCACGTTCTTTTCTTTCTTTTTCTTCCCTTTGGGTACGTAGGTCAAAGTACATGTATTCAAGCACTGAGGTTAAGGTTCGATTATCCATCATTTTGTTGCTATGTGTGGAAATACTGGCCCATGGCCCTAATCATTCAGCGAAGGTGACATCCACTTCAAATAAGTTATGACCGTCACGGGTGATTACCAATCCACCTATATAAGAACACGACGTGACGGTCACGGATCATTTATGAAACTTACTTTGTTCCGAAATTGTTAGATTGTAATTTGAATTTATGGGAACATCTTAAATCCAGCAATCTTGTCATAAAAGAGAGGGAATTAAGTGGAACAAAACCAAAAGTGGTTTTGGATATAGATGGATGTAGTACTACTCAATTATTGGAAGAGACAAAACCTGGACTAAATAAGGTGCGAGCCCATTTACTACCATTAGTGGTTGGTTGGTTCCCATTACAAATATGCATCGAAGGATAATTCAGGATTTTCCTTTCTATTATCTAATTACTCCCACTTTCTGTCATTGTGCCCCATTCTTCTCGCAACACAGCATGGAAATACACTAATAAAAGCCAAAATTTTGGGATTTTGATTCGATGTTCAAGCAGCAAATATATATATATATATATATAATATATAGCAAAGGATTCCATTTAGAAACATAATCACTAGGGGCTTTTCTTTTTCTTCTCAGAATGTTCTCTCTCCAAAAGACAGTATCATTACTGGTTTCCTTTCCACAATGTGAAGGTTAATAAAATTCGAGTTAGTCTTTATTTTGTTGAAAGAGATCACGAGTTCAAATTTCATAAACGGCATACAATCTCTGTCGGAAGACACCTTAAAATTTCTCATCTTGGTTCAATGCACATGAAATGAAACCATCTTTTTAAGGAACATTCGTATTGGATGCTAACGTTTTTCGAGTTTGGAGAAGCCCACGTCTCTAGACCCGTGGGCCAAGCATTTTCAAGGCCTACGACAGACGACACAACATGTTGTTTTCCTCTATGAAGCAATGAAACGACAATGATATTTAACACATCTGTTTATAGATATCAATTACAAATCATGCTAGTTCCTCGAGATTAATACAATTCTCATGATGAGGATTTAAGCTTATTACATGAATTTCTATAGTCTCTGCTATGGCTGGCAAGACCCTGGAGTTGATCCTGGCTGCAATCAAACACATAAATTGTTATAAACTATTATTAAAAAAACTATCTTCATGCAATCAAAATTTGTTTTAGCTTACCACACATGCATGTACATCATTGCATCCACACAAGAGCTCCCCATTCAGGGTGTCTAAAGCTTGAAACGACCCTCCTCCTTCACTCCTCTGCATCAGAAACCAAGCATTTGTGTGAATAAACATTTCTCTGGTTTCATTCAAAACCAAAAAATTAAACAGTGGGAAAAAAAAAAGGCATGCCTTGTAAAAATCGACAGCGACGAAGTTAGCCCATCGGTTGCCAGCCGCACCATAACAAGTGTAGAGCATTTTAATCAGATCCCCAGAGTTAATTGCACAGCTGACTTGCTTGATGGGAATGGAAGTAAAATAATTAACCAACACCAATGATTTAGTCTCGTCATTTAGAGGTGCTGATTCTCTTCTATTTGGACAATTTCCTGGCTTCATTCCACCATCCCCATCTGTGTTCAAAGTAAGACTCAGAAAAAGTGAAAAAGAAAAATATTTGAAGTTGGTTGATGGGTTCTTACATTGGTTTTCAACCATGTAGTTCCATTGGTATGCAATCCCTTCAGATTGTTCCTTGGCACTTTTTGAAGTAAATACAAGTAGTCTTTGGTTCTTAGCAACCATGTCACTAACCAGTGGCCAGTCCTGACCATTTTTGGGCATGCTTGTCACTGGAAACCAGTATTTCATCAACCCAGAAGCTTTGAAGACATTTGTCAATCCATTTGGAGCTTCAACATAGTCCTCTAATATCAATGTGACAATTTCTGCTGGGTTGGCTGATAAAAATGCTTCAATCTCCATGAGGGTATCTATAGCTGGTTCCTATTAATTAAGTAGCAACTTTCTTAATCCAAAAAAAAAAAATGTTACATAAAAGAATGAAATGAAATGGGGCAACTGGCTTACAAATGCAGTAATGTCATGGCATTTTCCGTTGAAAGAGTGGCACAACCACACATCTCCTTTAAAATCATACGTATCGAGCATTAAGGCTCGAACCCCGTTCTGTAAATTGTCAATGAAGATGACACACAAAATGATGGTCGGAAAGTTTAGTGAAACAAGTCATGTTATAAATTAAGCAGCAAATGAAATAGAATTGAGAAAGGCACAAGGCATATATACATTTAGCTGTTGAGTGATAGTATCTTCTTGATTTGTGAAGGTAACGCGAGGAATTCCAGTATGAGAAGGCTCTCCCTCAATAGCAAAAGCATTGTGGGTTGTCAAAAACGCATACTTGTTGAATGGCAGAGAATTGTTCTGTTGCATTGCAGCAAATAACAAAAACAACAAATAAATCAAAATTAAAAACACTTATTGGGCCTAAATGGGCCCATGTGAAGGCCCAAATAAATGTTCTGAAGCCCAATGAATGGGTTTGGTGGGGCCATTGTGTTCTGTTCAATTGTTGTGACATCCGAAGGAGCCGGCAAAAGTCATGCTTGGATTGGATGGATTCCATGTCCCCCAAAAATCTCTGTTTTTTTCCTTTCATGGTATTGTAATGCAAAGTTGGAAACTTCACCAAGTCTCTGTATGGAGTGTGTATGAGAGAGAAATAGAGACTAAGTTGGACGTACCAAAAGCTTGAATTGGTCTGTAATGGTTGATCTTATACATCTAGAGCCGGAAAAGGCTTCTGGGCAAGAGAAGCAGAAAAGCCCTGCCTCACAATCTCCGTCTGATGAGCATTGTTCTAAAAGCTACACATTCAAACCACAAGAACATAGAGCTTTACTCTTTCTTTTTCCTGTCACAAACATTCATTCATAATGAAAAAGTGTAGGCAGGCACAAACCTTGCACTGTCCATTGGAGCAAGCTGTGGCAAAGCTGAAAACCGCTGCACTAGCTATGATCATCAAAAGCAAGTTCTGCCGAGTCTTCATATTTGTAAAACAAGAAAAAGAAGAAGAAAGGAAATAATATATCTGTTTGTTGGGTTTTGGTGAGCAGCTTGGGTTTCTCAGTTTCGGCTGAGAAAACGAAGAGCTCGGCAGAACTCTTGACTAGTAATTAAAACTGAGGCTGGAGATACATAATTATATGGATTGGATTTGGATATAAATGCTGAAATCCAAATGATTAAAATGGGAACTTGGCTGTATATGATTATATCAAATCACAATTCACAACAAAGACGTTGGTGAGACGAAGATGAAAATAGATTAAAAATTCTGGTTTGGCCAAAATCAGTCGAACCGTAACGGAACATTTAACTTTCGCTCCCATAATTCATTAGTTTGACACGTCACTCAAACTCTCTCGTGAAAAATTGACTCATGGCTAAGGAGAAAAAAGAAAAGAGTGCTGTTATTTTCATCACTCGTCCTATTTTTTCATTTATTTTATATTTAAAAATTTAAAGATAATTTTACTTTTTTGTAAAATGACTTTTAAGAACTTAGGGAAAAAACCTCAACTCATATACCCACCTATTTTACCGTTTGACAAAGAGAAAAAAAGAAGAAGGAAAGCGTACAACTCGTGAAATTGATCCAGTCCGTCAAACACAACTTGATCATCTCCATATGTCTCAAACTAATGATTACTTGAATTAATAATTAAAGAGTATTTTAAGAATAATAGTGGGTGGAAAGATATGATTGTGTTTTTTCAAATTTACATGGTGAGTGAGAAGATAAGGTGAGTGAAGAAATATAATAGGATGGTGAAAATAACAGCACTCGAAGAAAAAAAAAAAAATGGAAATGTAGGATAAGGAAACTAATCCATGTTAATCAGCAGTTACCATATATGTTTGACCATATATGGTAATGCAAATATATTTTTAGACCATATATTAATATATATATATACGAGGATATACTTAGCATCCTTCCTTCCCATCCCATTACAATCAATTACATGACTATCGGCATCCATCTAAATTCTAATACAATTCAACTGACCAAGATTAATGTTCTTTAGGAATTAACAAAAGGCCTAGAAAGAAATAATCCTGGGCCGATCCACAAAAAACCGAGTCCATAGCTCAGGTGCAAGAGGTTTGAATGTTCGGCAGCAATCCAAAATAACAAAATATTAGAGCCCAAACCGAGCCCATCGTTGACCCAATTTTTGGCGTGTAATATATTATATATATATATATATATAAGCGATAGTCTAAATTACAGTAAGTTAATTTAGTCTAGTCTATGCGTAAGGTATTCAAACTTAAGTGTAGAGAGACGAGCTCATTGTTCTAGCCAACTGGTTTAACCAACTGTTAATAGTCATGATATATTTATTTAAGAAGAAGAATCATGAATTGAATTAGGGGATGGTTCTTCTTTAAAAAAATAAGAATTAACTTTAAAGGATAGTTGATAAACATAACTACAGAATAGCACCAAAACATAATTAAATTGGCCCAAAGCAAAGCAAAACAAAAGAACCCATAACGTTACAAATCCCAACCCAAGTAAACTTTTCACAAGTAAATGTCATATAGAATAGAATAGAATAGAATAGATTATGGATATATCATTCGTCTTGAGAGAAGAATCGGTTGATGGTAGGCATGATCTCAGGCGGGCGGGTGCGGAGGAACTTGCGCAGCCCATGCTCTGCGTACTTCTCTCCCTCTTCCTTATTTTCCAGCACTCCCATTCCACGCCTAGCTTTGTCGATTCTGCAAGTTCATTAAATTAATTCCTTAATCACACGTTTAATTTAATCAGGACCCTTTAATTATACATACATATAATAATAAGTATATTTTGTACCTGACATCTGGGTTTAGGAACACGTTCCTTGTAAGCTGAAATGCACACAAGCTTGTCACAAATGTCATCGCAGCCATTAGAGGGTACACCTAAACAAAACAAAATCCCACACATTAAATTTTTTCATTTATAAATTGTTTTATTTTTTGACGAGTTCACTGTCCTGACCAACCGAATCTAAACAAACAAAAGCCGAACCAAAGCTTGCTCACCTCAGGCTTAACCCAACGCCCCATCAAAAATAAAGATCTCCTTGTCTAGCTGTGTTGCTCTAACGAGAATGAGATGATCACCAACCAACAGACAGAGAAACAGGCTATCTTCTTGCTTTTTACTGTTACATTGGAATTCTATGTGCGCCTAGTATATATAGTGTCGTGTGGACTTGGGGTCACCAACAAGGAAGGGGAACTAGATGGAAAGTCTATCCTACTTACTGTGGGCTGCATCTATTTTGACCACCTAAAACCAGCGGCTCAGCCTCTGGATTTCTAAAACGCGTAACTTTTCAATGGCCATTTGGCAATAGCCTTTGCCTGTGGGTTGACAATTTAAGTCTTTGATCCTATCACTAGAATGTTCTTCTGCGGTGGCAATCAAATATTTGCAGAACATAAACATTAAAAGAATAATATTAATTCCTTGACAGATGAAAGTTAAAAGTAAAGGTTAATCATTTTATTAGTCTCTGAACTTAGATATGATTTGTATTTGAGTCTCTCAATTTTCAAAATCGTTCATGTGGTCCTTTAACTTCAGCTTCGTTAGGACAAATGGTCATGCCATCAATTTTGTTAAATGTAAGGACAAAATAGTATTTTTGTATCAAAATTGATTAAAATATAAATAAAAAATTAAAATTAAATTCTCTCTCCCCCCCTCTATCCCGATTTCTACTTCCCCCAAACTTGATTTTTTTTTGGTTGGTTTTTTATTTGATTTTCTTTTATTATTATTTTGAAGATATGATTTTTTATTCATTTTTTTAGTTTTAATTTAAAAACACTATTTTGCCCTTGCATTTAATAGAAAAAGTTAACAAAATTGATGGCAAGACCATTTGTCCTAGCGAAAGTGAAGTTATAGGACCATGGGAACGATTTTCGAAATTGAGAAACTCAAATGCAAATTGGGTCCAAGTTCAAGGACTAATAATACGATTAACCATAAAAATAAAAATATGGGCCTAGAGTATACCAGAAAAATAAAAAAAACTATTCTAGGCCTAGATGCCCCAGCCCAATCTTCATAAAGATATCACCAATTAAGAAATATGAGAATCCAGATTATAATGAATCGGCCCTTAATAGTTATTCGATTAATTGCAGAGTTATTATCGGATGGATGAATTGAACCCCTCAACATAGCCCCATCATTAAGAAGCACTTGGGCTGTTCTTGTTTTCAGCTAACAAATTAGCGATAAAACTGAATAGATGCATTTGATTTATGACCTAATGCTATAAATTATGCTTTTTGCACGACCAATTGATGCTTATATCTAACCTAAATTACTAGATCATCAATAGTTTGGCTATGAATCCCTTCTCAAATTGAATGATTCATGGAAATGAGTGGAAAAATACTGCAGCCAAAAAGAGAGACATTTTACTGTTGAAGCAAATCCAATTCAAGTCTGTTAAATGCAAAGCAGTTGAGTGGCCTTTCTAGCAGAAAGGGACTCAGTACTTGTCCCTACTTCGGTGTTTTGCTTATTTTCAAACTCATACTTCTGACTTAAACCCCTGGAGACGAGCAAGATTTCAGACAAGACATAAAATATTCTAATGGCACACATGCTAAAATGATTACTATGGATGGGTCGAGCTTACCATGCAGAAGCAACCAGCTTGTATAATAATATAGTGGGATTTTATATATTAAATCAAAAATATAACATGTCTGGTTTGATTAAATATTTTTTTTTGTAACATGTATGGCCAATTTCTTAGCTTCAACTTCTAACCTCATTATCTGTCACCTTCAGCTGCAATCCGGACCGTTGAGATGTTGTGCTCACTGCAGATTTTTTTACCCTGCCTGGTCTCATTAGAAGTTGCTTTAAGACATGGAAAGCTAAACAGAAGTCTCCAGATGAGAGAGACTAAGAGAATTGAAGATGTTATAAGCATCTAACAACAATTTGGTAACCCATCTATGTAGAAAGCTAACAAAATTTTCTTTCCAGAGTCTCTATCTTTATTAAATACATACACATCCATTGCCCACTAGGAAGCTCATGATCGATTTCAGAGCCTTTGTTTAACAAGCCTGTGAACCCAGCTCAACAAAATTGCTCAAGCTTACAATCCAAATTCAAGCATTGGCAAGTTCGGTAATTAGGCTTTTGAACCAGAGATGAGATTCTTTGTCTCAGCTCTCTTCTTTCTTGTCATCTTTTCATATGCAGGTAAACTCTTCCTCCTTAGAACACTTTTACTTGGAATGAAACAAATCACTTCTCGAATTTTGTTGTTCATGCATGTTTTGTGGTTTGATGCAGATGCATTTGATCCCTTGGATCCAAATGGAAACATAACAATAAAATGGGATATCATGTCTTGGACACCAGATGGCTATGTGGTGAGTATGTTACTTATCTATAGTTGAAAGAAATTTGTTGTAAAAAGATTTAGAGGGCATATGAACTTAGTCATCACATAATAAAATGTGTATCAATGACTATGCCTCCACTGAATTGTATTTTGCAGGCAGTTGTGACTCTGAACAACTTTCAAATGTATCGGCACATCATGAGCCCGGGGTGGACTTTAGGATGGACATGGGCTAGAAGAGAAGTGATATGGTCTGCGGTGGGAGCTCAAGCCACGGAGCAAGGTGACTGCTCTAGGTTCAAAGGGAACATACCTCATTGCTGCAAGAGAAACCCCACATTTGTGGACTTGCTTCCTAGTGTTCCTTACAACCAGCAATTCACAAATTGTTGCAAAGGTGGAGTGCTAGGTGCATGGGGCCAAGACCCCTCAGCTGCTGTCTCCGCCTTCCAGCTCAGTGTTGGATCAGCTGGCACTTCAAACAGGACAGTGAAGCTTCCCAGGAACTTCACTTTGCTAGGCCCAGGACCAGGACACACCTGTGGCAGGGCAAGAGTTGTGCCTCCCACAATTTTCTTGACACCTGATCGACGCCGAAAGACTCAGGCGTTGAGTAAGTTCCTCTGCCTGCTAGCTGACATGATGATCTAGAGATTAATAAAGTTCTTCATTCTAATATTTGATTTGATATATAAGTATACTCTGTTTAACTTAACATCATCATGTTTTTATGCAGTGACCTGGAATGTGACCTGCACTTACTCACAAATTCTGGCCAGAAAATACCCAAGCTGTTGTGTATCTCTCTCATCTTTCTACAATGACACAGTTGTTCCTTGTCCACCCTGTACTTGTGGTTGCCAAACCAAGGACAATTGTGTCAAGTAAGTCATGACCCTTTTGGACATTTTCAAAATATAGTCTAAAGTAACTTACATAATTTGTGCAGAGACGTATGCATAAATAATAACATGATCCATGTTGATTTTGTTACAGAAGTGACTCCAAAATTCTGAGCATGGTTGGAGTTAACACTCCGAAGAAAGACAATAAGCCGCTGCTGCAGTGCACAAGGCACATGTGCCCGGTTAGAGTGCACTGGCATGTGCAGCGTAACTATAAGGATTATTGGCGAGTGAAGGTTTCGATCACAAACTTCAACTATCGGATGAACTACACGCTTTGGACTCTGGTTGTTCAGCATCCTAATCTCAACAATGTCACACAAGTGTTCAGCTTTGATTACAAGCCTCTTGTTCCTTACGAGTCTATAAGTGAGTTCCAAACAATCTCCTCTTCCACATTGTTCTCATAGTCAGGGGCTAACATAGCTGTCATGTTATCTTATATGCAGATGACACTGGTATGTTCTATGGCTTGAAATTCTTCAACGACCAATTAATGGAAGCCGGGCCATTTGGGAATGTTCAGTCGGAGATGCTGCTTCGAAAGGACAAGAACACATTCACTTTGAAAGAAGGGTGGGCATTTCCTCACAAAGTCTACTTCAATGGTGATGAGTGCCAGTTGCCCCCTCCTGATGCCTACCCCTTTCTGCCCAACTCTGCCTATCAAAATCTACTTTCCTTCTCAACATTCATTTCATCATTCATTTTCTTCTTGATAGCCATTTGGTGATTTGGCTGCATAGATTTCGGAATTGTGGCAATATGGCTAATAAGTTTTTTGAAGCAAAGGTCTAAAGGATATTTTGCACATAGAAATGAAGCATAGGCACTAAAATTCCAAGGGCTCTTTCTTTGACGAACTAAACTTGACTTACTCATATGTATCTTGTGAATAGAGTGAGTCTGCTATTTGAGTTTCTATGTTCTATCATCATCAGGAATATAGTATCATGTAAGTAGATCTTTGTTTTTTGAGAGATGTAAGTAGATCTATTAAATTATGCTTTGTGCTGCAATTTGAATTTAAATTAATGCTGGTGATATTTTTGTATATGGCCGGCAACTTGAAGATCAATTAAAATCTCAAAAAATTATATATGCATTTGCACCTAACAAGTTAATGCTTACAACTAACCTTCTCAACAGGGAAGGTATTAGAGAATGACTATTATGTGCTTCAAAGTAAAACTATATGAGTCAATACTTGTCAAATGGCATCTTCAATTTAATGCAGAACTGCCATGATTTGATTGAATCAATCCGGTCATATGAGATGTGAGAACGAAAAACAACCGTAAGATCGATACTATGATCAGATTCAATAGCTAGTTAATCATTCTTATTGATTTACAATCACGATTACAATACCCTGGTCACTCTACCAGTGAAAGGGGTTGACTAGCCAGAAGTAACCCACTCTTATGTAGTATCAATAAACAAAAATGGACACCAGCAGCGTACTCGAATCCATCTAACTTCATGGTGGAAGCATTTCACCAAAATGCATGGAAAATTGAGTGGCTTCCATAAATTTTGAGGTCAACTAAGCCCTTTGAAAATCTAAGATTTGAACACTTGCAAGCTCAGGTTAAGCATGAACATACATGAGTGCAGCGGTTGATAAAGAAGTCATGATTAGAGTAAGCAGAGAGGTATACTGTCGGAAACCAGAGTTTGGCAACCATGGATAGGCATCAGGAGGTGGCATGACACAGTTATCGCCATTGAAATAGATCCTTCGAGGGAAAGCCCAACCCTTATCAAATGTGAAAGTTGCTTGATCCTTCCGGAAAAGCAGCTCTGACTGTACATTACCAAGAGGCCCAGCTTGCATCAGCAAATCGTTGTAGAACTTAAGTCCCCATAGCATGGCTGTATCATCTGTTTGAAAGAAAACCAGATTACACATTCCCAACTTTCAATGCGCATGCATAATAATGAAGATTAACATATGCAGGTCTTTTAGAAATCTTGGAAAACTTGAAGTACAGGTCAAATCACATAATAACACTACGATTAAAGAACATATGAAAAAATAATAAGTCAGGATTAGCATACTTATTGTCGCATAAGGAGTTATTGACTTGTAGTTATAGCTGAAACTCTGGGTCAGATTGTCAAAGTTTGGGTGTTGGACAACTAAATTCCAATCCGAGTAATTCATCCTGTAATTGAAGTTTGTAACTGTAACTTTCACTCGCCAATATTCCTTGTAGTTTAGCTTGACATGCCAGTGAACTCGGATTGGGCACATATGGTTAGTGCATCGAACCAGAGGCGTGTAGCTATTCTTGCTAGAGGCTGAGACAACTGAAGCCAAATAGGGGGAATCTGGCCTGCAAATTCACAGAGAACATAAATGTCTTATAGAAAAATAAGAAACATTCCATCTTAAAATCAGGAAAAAGAAGGTTAAAAAGGTTATTCTGGAAGAGTGCTCACTCTACACAGCTTCCTGGATGAGTTGCATTACTTTGGCAGCCACACGAACATGCTGGGCAGGGCACTACTGTGTCATTGTAGAAGGATGAGAGTGAGACACAGCAAGTGGGAGTTTTCTGAGCCAGGAATTGCGAATATGTGCACGTAACATTCCATGTCACTGTCATGAACACGAGGTAAGATTAAACCGATGTTTTCTTAGCACAAACACTTGTCTTTAAAAACATTCATAATATTATTATAACTTACTCATAGCTTGAGTGACTCTCCGTTTATCTGGAGTGACAAATTTAGTTGGTTTGACGATATTTGCGCGACCACAAGTATACCCAGGCCCTGGTGCATTCAGGGTGAAATTTTTAGGAGCTCTGACCGTCTTGTTAGTGGTTCCTGCTTGACCAACACTTAGTTGAAAAGACCCCACAGCATTGGCTGGATCCTGCACCCATGAAGTAAGTACTCCTCCTTTGCAACAATTTGTAATTTGTTGATTGTAAGGAGTTCCTGGCAATAAATCAACAACAGTTGGGTTCTTTTTACAGCAGTGGGGGATTGTTGTTTTAAATTTTGAACAATCCCCTTGCTCTGTGGCTTGTCCTCCCACCATGTTCCATATAACCTCCTTCTTTGCCCATGTCCATTGCAGTGACCAGCCTGGTGCTTGAATGTGCCGATATTTCTGGAAGTTATAGATGGTAACAACAGCCTGTTTATTCAAAGAGAATGTTGATTAGATATTTACCCTATTCAACTATTCTTAAGTGGAAGGTAAAATGAATCCATGTTAAAATGCTGCTTTCACAACTAACAGAGATTTAATTTACTCAACCAAAAGAGAAACATGTAGATATAAGTTCAACTTGTGTTTGAAATTTTATGTGGAGGACCACACCCTAAGACTCATTCTAGTGACTAAGTTTAATTGCCGAATATCCCCAGTAGGAATGTACATTGCAAGTGACAAACATACCAAAAAACCCCAATCCTACTGTATGGAAAAAAATATCTGAATCAGTCACTATGTAGGCTATGAAAGATTCACTAAACTTTCTTATGCTCATGCCAAGGCTGAGTGCACTCTAATCTGTGCAAGCAAGAAGCCAAATGGAAGCATGAAGTTCAGATGTTGTTCAGGTTAGGCAACTAACGCTTGAAGAACTTGATAAGCAGCTCTTGTTATTCCTTGGAATTCAGAAACATGTTTCTGTATTATCTATGTTCATTGTATGTTTATTTCTTTCTTTGAAGTCAACCACATTAGAAAAGCCGCGCAACTAAGGTAAAAAATAAACGATAAATAAACACTTCTCGACTATCACAGGCTCAAAATTCAAATAACACTTACAACATAGCCATCAGGAGTCCAGCTTATAATATCCCATTTGATTGTGATATTTCCATTGGGGTCAAGCGGATCATATGCTTCTGGTAAGAAATAAGCAAAACAATGAACATTGTGATGAGCTGAATCAATTAAAGATTATGTAAAAATAATAATTTTGGAGTCTTGTTCTCATTTTCCTTGTAATAGAAAGTATTTGATAGCTGAATTAGTTTAACTGATTAAATTTTCTTTCTTCAGTATCTCATCTGTTAATACTAACAAGTTCGAATTCTTTGTGAAAGAAAAAAAGAGTTCGAATTCCAAAACAGAACTCAAAAATGGAAAAACAAGAGCTAAGGTCCATATTTTCCATCAAAACTCATTTGCATCAATATCAGAGAATTAAACGTTCTGATATTAAACAAAAATTGATTTCCTCATTTGTCAAACTCAAAACCCAAAACCCAAAACCAAAAGTTGCCAAAACCTCACAAACATTTCTCCAATCAAACAGTCAACTACACCTTCAAGGAACAGAATTCAACTAATATGAGACACTCAGACACATTAGGCCACTATAGACTTAAAAAGGAATAAACCCACGAATATAATCAAATTCCAAGAAAAAAAATACTAACTTTAGAAAGATTGAATGAGAAAGAGGAAGACTGAAGATACCTGTAGCAGTGAAGCTGGTGCAAGCAAGTCCAAAGAGAAGCAAAATGGTGAAACTGATCAATTTTGAGACTGATCGAATCATGGGTAGAAACAGAGGTCCCATTTTCTGTTAAAAGATTGTGTTCTGGTCCGAATGTCTGAGTTTTATTTCTTGGGTGGCAAAAAGTTTCTTTCTTTTGGGTCAAGAGGGTGGCACAAGTTTCGTTTTTTCACACAGAAAAAGGCGTAAAGGGTGGAGAGAGAGTGGAAAGAACGCGGTAGCGTGTGCTCCCTTTGCCAGTCTGCCTGCCAAGTCCCCCAGTTTAAAATGTAGTGAATTTTCAAAAAATAATAATATTGTATTAACGGGTTATTTATTAAGAATAAAACAAAAGAATACTTAAACATATTAATTGACTGTTTCAAAGTAAATGCTTGACAGTTGTGATGAACACAAATCATAATCAAACGGCTTGGCAATTGGTATTTGGGCAATTGGCAGCTTCTTGCAGACCGAAAAAGAATTTGGCATCTTCTGGTAGTTACTAAGAGCATCTCCAAGGGAGATGTCAAATACCAAACATCAAATTTAAATTTAATGGCTGATGTGACAATTTGACATTTAGATAGTTTTACACTCCACCCGATATGTCAAATAAATAATTATTGTAACAGTCAAATCATTTAAGATAAAGAAGAAAAAAAATTAAAAAAGGAAAATAATAAATGAAAGTAATAGCCAACTATCTTTTAAAAATAATAAAATATTCATTTGACATCTTGCTTTTGGTATGTCAAAAATAACATATCAACCTCCAGCCTTCATTCCACATCAGTTTTGACATATCGGTTGGAGTGATGTGAAATGTTATTTCTAACCGTTAAAGGTCTATGTGGCACTTTTGACACATCGGTTGGAGATGCTCTAATGGTCTTGGTTCGAAGCTTGATTGTCTTTGTGGTTTGGAGTTTGTTCACACTCCAAGGTTGGTTGGCATTGACCATTAGGCTAAACTTAAGTCATGTTTTCAATTGGAAAATGATGATTTGTAGCCTAGCAGCAAAAGCTTTATTGAAAAGTTTAGATGCAAAGTTACATTTCAAATGCATCTTCTGTGGGTAATACCGGATTTATTAATTTTTATTCCAAGATTTTATAAACCCTTTTTGGAGAATAGAAGACAAAGACCTTGTCCTAAATAGAACACAATTTTTATTATTTAAATGTAAATTGTACCAAATGTGTATTGGAGGGAGGTATACAGTGTACATCCAATTCATATGTCACATGTGGACGCCAATAAGCA